GATGATAATCGACAAGGTGGAGTCGTATCCTAGAAACACATATTTAAGATGATACGACAACTACTTCAACTCAATTTGTGGCGCCTGCGAAACAGAAGGTAAAAGTTTATATTTAGATGAAGTTAAGCGTAAATCAGAATGAATAGAAGAAATATTTTCTAACTTACTGACTTCTTCATCGTATTTTTCTAATTCTCTATACAAATTGTCAAAAAAGTTATTTTCCATATACTCATCAATGGTAGGTTCAATAACATTAATAAAATTAATGCTAGCAACATTGTCTATATACTTTATTGCTTTGTATATGTCAAATTTGGCAACCTCGCCATTGAATTCCAAAGTAAGATTTCCACTCCTCACGTCCATTTTGGTATGTGTCGTACTTAGGAAGGGGCGACTAAGAAAGATTTCAGAAAAAGTGTTGGTTCGATTATTTTCCATGTCAATGACATAGAAATCTGCTGGGAAAATAAGTTCATTTACCTTAGCCAAAACATTTTCAAGGAGCCCTTTGAAATAAATCATGAATCGATTAGCAAGTTGTATTGTTACTTTAGTTTCATTCAAAGGCTCAACTGAAAGTAAGTTGTAAACAGAAAGTGGCATAACATTAATGGAAGCACCCAAATCACACATTGCATGTTTAATTCTTACCTTACCGATTTTACAATGTATAACAAACATACATTGGTCCTTGCACTTTAGTGGGAGCCTACGTTGAAAAATAACTGAGACATTTTCGCCTAAATTTACCTTCTCATTACTGGTAAGTCTCCTTTTGGTTGTACAAAGGTCTTTCAAGAATCTGACATATCTCGATACTTTTGGGATCACCTCAAGAAGAGGTATATTTATATCCACCTGTTGAAAAAAACTTCAAGTATTTCATTATCCTTGGCTTGTTTGTCGAATTTAACCAACCTCGAGGGGAAGAGAGGTGGAACGACATAGAGAGATGGCGTGGGAGGAACTTGCGATTCATCCTTCTTATTCCTCTCAATCATTTATCAACTTCATTTTTTTCTCTTTGGGATATCAACTCCTCTTCTTTCCTCTAGGATCATGCGACTACATCTTCTGGACTAGTGGCACAACAATAATGCCACTTTGAAGGGTGATGACACTTAAGTTTTCTCGTGGGTTTGCCTCAGTTTGAGGCGAAACTTTTCCTGCAACTCGAAGCATCCCACGATCTAACCTAGTTGAATCATTAGCTTATCTAGCTCTTCTAAATGAGCTTCAATGCAATTCTAAAACTTCTCTAGGGATAGAGCCAACCGCTCAACGATAGACTCCAATGATGCCTTTGGCAGTTGATACGACTGTGGTGGAGGTGGCCTCGATTGATAGACTTGATTTGGTCTCAGGTTTTGTGCATAGCTAAAATTTGGATGATCCCGTTATCCCAGATTGTAGTTATTTTCATTGGAATTATAAGGCTTCTGGGAAGGTCATGGAAAATTTATAATTGTATTTACTTATGCAACAACGTCTTCTTATGGTATTGGATAACAATTCATAGGATGGTCCGACATTGTGCATATTCCACAAAGTTTAGTTGTACAAGTTTGCTTGCAACGAGAGATTGAACTATATCAATCAACTTATCAATTTTATTTTCTAAGGAAATTGTATTTATCTCGTGAAATCGACGAGCGAGTTTACTAGAAGAGCCAAATTGTTGAGAGTTATTGGCCATGGTAGAAATTAGATTTCTAGCCGTATTTGGAGTAATGTTCACAAAGGCCCCTCCACTGGCTGCGTTAATCATCTTCATCTCCAAATGGAGCAAGCCTTTATAAAAATATTAGAGAAGTGTCTATTATGAAATTCCATGTTGTGGCAGTTATCGTAGAGTTTCTTATATCATTCCAGTAGTCATATAAATACTCTTCATTCTTCCGTTGTACTTCTAAGATGTTTGTTCTTAGCTCACCTGCCTGTGTCGTAGGTAAAAACCTATTTCAAGAAAAAAGATGAGTCATGTCAGCCCAAGAATTAATAGAATTAGGAGGTAAATAGAAAAATCAATCCTTAGCCAAATGATTAAGGAGAAAGAGAAGACGCGAATTTTAATCAGATCTTCGGATACTCCATGTGGTTTCATGTTTGAACAAACCTATGAAATTCGGTCAAATGTTTATGAGGATTTTCGCTCAACAACCCATGAAAAATAGGTAAAAGATGGATCAAACCCGTTTTAAGCTCAAATAATGACTCTCTATTCGGGAATGTGATGCATAATGGCCGCTGAACGACAGGTATCGCAACTAGTTCCCGAATTGTTTAATCACCCATCGGAATTGATTCTTCATAAGTGAATTCGAAGTGTATTTCAACATCAGAAGGTGCTTTTAGATTTGATTTTGGATCTTTTTATTGTCATTGCTCTTGTTGTTGTCATTGTTTTTATTTCTCTCGAAGCATTTGTGCATGTATTCAACAATCTCGTGCTTCAATCTCCGGATCACAGTCCACTAGTTTGCCCGAGTTTTGCCTGGTCATAAATAAAAACAACACAATATTAGTAATTTATCGAAATCCCCGATAATGACACCAATTTGACAAGCGTTGTATATTGTCAAATAAATAAGCTTTTTTCTCAGATAAATAAGCTAAAAATATAGTATAGAGAATAAAGGGTCGATCCGTAAGGACTAAAGAGCTTCTGATGTTGAATGGTTTTGATTCTGATTTAGGAGAAAAAGAAAAGAAAATAAGGGATTTCAATTGAAAGAGTGAAAGAAAAATAAACGTAAAATAAAAGTAATTGTGAAAAATTAAATATAGAAAACTAGTGAATGGAAAATTTGAGAAGAAAATCAATTAAGTAAAATAGCCTCATGCTTCGCTTTGCCTCAATTCCAATTGATTATCGAAGAGGATTTTACTCTGGATACATGTCGGTTACAATCTACAAGGCTCAACCCTTGTAACTTACTTTTCTCTCCGGTAAACCAACAATCCAAAGTCAATCTTTGAAATTAGGTCCTAATTTGGATTAACCACGACTATCGTCGCCAGCACCAATACAATTTTAGTTTTGAAAAAGTCCAACTTGGATTATGTTGTCTCAATGAGAATCCAACCCAGCCTCAATTTCCCTTAACGAACCACTACTAAGTGTGTTCATAGGAAGTCAAATGTGCTACAAGTTGGTCCTTCCTCCCAACTTTAAATCGGAACAACAATCAAATCAATGAGCTCTTTTTGAATTGAAATTGTAGAGATTTTTAAAGGAAATGTCGTTTGTCATTCCAAGTTTTCATAAAATTGATAATTATATCCGAAGATATTAAATGTTTTTCAATTCTTACGATCAGAATTAAGTCGCCGCTTAAGTATGATATAAATCATACTTAACATTTTCTAAAGAAAGTGAAAACAACTAAGGATAAAATCCTAAAACATTCAAATAATAAAATCCTAAAATAAACAAGTGATAAATCCCAAATTCAAATTCAAACTAAATGTAAGTCGTTCGCCCATCCTTTTAGATGATACTGACTAGACCACCTTCTGGAACTGCTATTGATTGGAATGCCAGAATCTGTCATATCGGACATTGACATGTTTCAAATCATGCCCATGTGTCCATCCTCGACTCTAAAATATAAAAAAATGTAGAACTCTGCTTCTTTAATGTTGTTTCCGGAAATTAAAGTCATGCATAAAAAATAAATCAAAACACCCCAAATTAGTAATATCAAAGAGACAACAATGAATAATTAACAACAAAATAGAAACAAAATAAATCACTCGCCATTGTAATGTTTCATATGGATGTGGGAAGTCCATGTGTGATGCCACTTCAACAAAAAAATTATTTTTAGAGTAAACTATACTTATAATAAATTACATATACTCTTATAAAAATATATTTAAAAATAGTTTAAAAATATTTTTTGATGATGTGGCATCATACGTAGACCTGCCATACCAATAAGAAGCGTTGGTCGTTAATCAACTAACGATTTTCATCCACACATAGAACATTTTACTCTAAAATAAAATGTTGGAGGTTAAAATGCTTAAGAAAAAAATATGAACAAAGTCGTAGGTAATTTTAATATTATGCCTTAATTTAAATGCATTGATAGACATAAAAAGGACTAGCTAACTACTCTATAAATGCCATGAACATGAAGATATAAATGGTAGCAGTAAGTGTTGAGTTCCAGAGGTAAAAAAAAACTAAATCATACAATGTCTATCTATTTGTCTTTTGTCCTCTACTATCTTTGTACAGTTTCAGAAAGAGACTCCCCTCCCATGGGGGTTCCCACAATCATGGGGTACAAATCTATGCACCCTTCCATTTTCATCTGTCATTTGTCAAGTACAGAGATGATCTCTATACTCGGTCGAGGGTCATGAGAGATCCTCGGCCCGTACCTGCAAAGGCAGAGTAGTTATGGAGGAAGGGGGTTATCTAGAAAGATCCCAATTTATAAATGGATCGGAAAGGTTTCTCCTTATAAAATTTTAAAATCATTATGCATTTTAGATTTTTTTCTATGTATATTCTATTGAAAATTTGTTTTCGTTTTTCCTGAAATCTTATAAGTTCAAATTCACCCCTAGAATTCTAAAAGTTCGTCTCCCAACATAAAATCTTGCGGTAATCCCTAGATACCGCGATGGTGGATGTTGATGAGAAGCATGGCCATTGTTGCATCTGTACTGCAAGTGGAAACAAATGGAACAATATGCATCCTAATGATTATCAGCCATTAACCTGTTTTTTCTCCTGTTATTGTTCCAAGCGTAAACAGCTCCTATCTCTGAGGATCTCTTTTATAATATTTCCCATTTTGTAGCTCTTAACATCACCTTTTCCTTTTGTAATCAATCTTTACACTCCCAATCCTTATATTTCTTTCCTTTTATGTCATTCAATCGCCATGTTTAAGCTTCTGTATAAATCCTATGATATATAATATATTGCTTAATGTACAAGGATCCACAATTGTGTTCAGAATTTAGATTCTAAAACCATGGCAGATAATGATGCTAGGCAGTCTTTGCTTTCATCCACGAATGATTCACTAAATCTCAGCGAGACAAAGGCTCTTCATAGAAGAAGATCCCATCGCCGTTCGAAAAGTCGATCAGAGAAAAACTCCGACGACCAAGAGAAGGAACCTCCGTTCATAAACCTCGAACCGGTACTCATAGTACGAGAGTTTAGGTTCAAGTACGTGCTAATGTTGTTGGGAGCCTATCTAGGTTTAGGCACCATTTGGTTTTACCTCATCGATAATCAGATCGACGGCAAGAAAACGAATGGGATCGTCGATGCCGTTTACTTTTGCGTCGTGACGATGACCACGGTCGGGTACGGTGACCTCATACCCCGTAGCTCGTTGGCGAAGATACTCGCGTGCGTTTATGCCTTCATTGGTGCGGCGCTCGTCGGTTTAATCCTAAGTAATGCAGCGGACTACATTGCGGACAAGCAGGGGACTCTCTTGGTAAAAGCCCTGCATATGAATGATGAGTTCGATACGGCTGAGGTACTTATGGATATCGAAACCAACAAGGTCAAGTATAAGTCCCTGATGACCTTGGCACTACTCGTGGTGCTTATAATTGCCGGAATCGGGTTCTTGTTCCTCGTCGAAGAGATGGAATTCCTCGATTCGGTTTATTGTGTGTGCGCGACGATCACGACGCTCGGATACGGAGATAAGAGCTTCTCGACGCAAGGGGGACGCGTGTTTGCCATTTTGTGGATACTTACCAGCACGGTGTGCTTAGCTAACTTCTTCCTCTATCTAGCCGAGCTATACACCGAGAGGAGGAAAAGAGCACTGGTTAAATGGGTTCTTAATAGAAATCTAACTGCAGGTGACCTTGAGGCTGCAGATTTGGATCATGATGAGGTGGTAAGGTAAGCTAGCTAAGGATTAGCTAAGGATTAACATGCATATTGTATATTGCACATACATACATACATACATACATACATACATGCATGCATACATACATTCATGCATGATGCTAATTTGTTTGTCGATTTTATCCATGACAGTGCTGCAGAGTTCATCGTATATAAGCTCAAGGAAATGGGAAAGATTTGCCAGGAAGACATTGTGATGTTGACGGAGAAGTTCAAAGCTCTTGATGTTGATCAATCGGGAACTTTGACTACAGAGGATCTGACTTTGTCCTAGCATGTAGCATGACCATAATAGTAACAAATCTAAAATTAATTTTGAAGGTGGACACGTATATGTTAACAATACGAGAAGTTTATATAAAAATAGACACAAATAAAATTTCATACAAACACCGTCAAAAATAAAATAAACAATTAATCTAAGAATTAATATTTAAAAATAGACTAATAAATTTATACGAATTTTTATATCAATTTTTATGTGATAGAGACTAATAAAGTCTTAAAGGTGATATTATTGTACTTAATTATGTTATTACCTTTTGGATTAAAATACATAAGTTACACATTTATTTTTGTGCTCTAATTCATTTTAATTTTAGTTATTATATTTTTTTTAATTTTGAAATTTTTATCTTAATCCAACTATTATCATTGTGATAATATTGTAATTAATTATTAAAATGATTATGGGTCGAGTAGGATTTTTTATCGACTTAAATTTGATTCGATTTTAGAATAAAAATATGTATATGATTCAGTCCGATACGAATATAAACATTTATATATAATTCTTATATAAAATCATAATTAAGGGCCAACTCTTATTTGATTGAGTAACAAGAGGTTCGATACCCCCTTGCTTTCACATTTTGTAAGGGAAAGTTAAAGAAGAATTACGGATTTTGTATCAGGCAATGCAAACGAGGCCGGACCATGTCTTTGTCGTTCAATCAAATCTCCGAGGTTCCTCATCCATATGCTCCGGCCGGGCAGCCGCAACATAGTCCAGCAGTCCTTCGCCGGCTTTTTCACCGTGATCTTCAGTCGTTAGCTGCGAAGCACCACCGAAAACCACAATCACCAACAACAACACGGTCGTAGAAGCAAAAAGAGGCCAAAAGTAGGCCAGAACGGTGAGCAGACTCGGGGCCGCATACGATAGAACGGCGACGATCGACGAGACGAGAATCGTTACGATGAAATGATACCTGTATTGGTTCAGCTTTTGTTGGATGTCCATTGGCGTCATTGCTATAAGCAATAAGAAATCAAACAAGGGGAATTGTATGCGAGCATATGATGTCTGTGGAATATATTGAGATTGTAGAAAATGATGGTATTGACTATCGAGACTTGGAGACTTGTTTTCTTGGAGAGATTCTTCTTCTTCTTTTAGTTACACGATTTAATTTGGTTTTAGTCCTTTTACTATGATAAAATTTTGGATTCAATCATTATATTTTTAGCAGATCCAAATTGATAACATCTTTAGATCATGTTGTTAAAGTGATGACCAGGGATGGATCAAGAGAGACAGGTGAGAGCAATGGACCTAGTAATAACACTATAAAAGTACACACCAAATTATATTAAATTAAATGTATAAAATCTCAAATTTTAATATAGTAAAAGGACTAAAATTATATTTAGACCAAATTAAACCAAATATGAATAATTTTTTTTATTAATCTGGCATAAGTATAAGGAAATATACGTTCAAAGATAACTTTTAACCATTTAATATTGAATGCTCACACTTCTGACATTCCTAATACTTAAACCCGAGATCTCGAAATTACAACAATATCTTTATCATTGAGATCGTTTGATTCGTGTCATTACGAATAAGTTTAATATTAACAAAAGTAGGCCAATTATTCCATTCTTCTCTTTAAATAATAAGGGCCGAATAGTCCTATTGGAGGAAAACGAATGGTGTGTTTTGGAATTTATGCTCTTTCCACTACTAGGATAGGGCGGTCGCTTTGTCCCCTTGATCGAGTGGCCGCCGCTCTTTCATTGAAATTAAGATTAAGATTAAGATTAAGATTAAGATTAAGATTAAGATTAAGATTAAGATTAAGATTAAGATTAAGATTAAGATTAATATTATATTAAGATTAAGATTAAGATTAAGATTAAGATTAAGATAAGATTAGTACTTAGCAAAGAAAACTCATAAATCGAAAGATGTTACATATTTAAATATATATCCTTTTACTTGTTATAAAACAATAATGTTAATTAAATTAAAATTCGATCTAGATGAATTCATCAAATGACTTCAGTAGTAAAAAGAAACGTTATTTTTCATAGAGGTTTTGAATTCGAGCAATTACGTTAGTAGAATGCGTGTTCAGAAACGAAGCTAAGATTGAACTATGAGAAGGACACATTATTTAACTTTGAGACAAATATGGACTAAAAAGTAATTAAACTATAAAAAGTAAGAGATCACAGGTTTAATTTCACAAATTTTAAAATTCAAAATGTGTTAAAAAAATAATTAAACTAGACAAATTTAAGGTGAATGTTGAATTTTATTAATTTAAAAACTGACAGTGTCCTAAAAATAATTATAGCAGAAAATTTTGGGAGAGATAAGATTAATTACATAGTTTCAAACTACCAATATTTTAATTTTTTTTTTTCAATTAGGTACCTAATTTTCTAAATAAAAAAGTTATATATGTATCAATTTGAATTTAATGCAAGTTTTTACATTAAAATTCAAGTTAAATTTCAGGTGGTCTCAATGGTTAAAGGAGATGTTGTTATGAGTTTGAGTAGTTACGTATGCAATGTGTGTCCGTATTATCAATGAACTAAAAAAGATTCTGAACAAATATTACCTTATAATTAGTTATTCACTTTAAAATACTTAAAAAATATATTTTATTTTGCTGATAAAAAATATTTTTTAATTAATTATCTGTTAGTTTAATTAGTTGAAGTATTAAATTTTCAAATAATATCTAAAGTCTGGATTCTAAAATTATAAATTAAACAAAATAAATTAAAAAATAATTCTCGCAATAATCCTATATGATAATCCAAATTAACAGACCCAATAGTCATATACTATCTTTTAGATGGACTACCAACTTTGAAGTCTAAACGTCGAACCAATAAAGTAGAATAACTTACGGGAAGTCTTTCGTACGGTAATTTAATATACAATTAAAAAAATACGTTATCGAAAATATTATTAATTTTTTAATATTTTTGATAAAACGTTATATAAAATATTATTATTTTTTTACAGAAAATGCTAATAATGGGTACTACTTAATATATTATTTTTTTTACCAAAAATTAGGTAGCAAAATTAACATTTTCGATAGAAAAAATAATGTTTTAAATAATATTTTATTAAAAATATTAAAAATCAGTAATAATTTCGATAACGTCTTTTTTTAACTGTATATTAAACTGTCGAACGACAGAACTACCCATAACTTATGGGTGGATGGACCCTAGCCGTTCAGATATCAGACAACATCAGGCCTAAAGCTCTTTCGTACAATTAGAGATCGGCATCAATTTGATGGCAAAATCAGCCCATTAATACTAGCGTAATAATTATTTAAGTTTTTAGGACGATTAAAAAATAATTAATAATCTATGATATTTATTGTGGTGTCTTAGAATTCGTCACGTGAGCGTAGCGAGTTCTTATAAAATATATCTTTTATTAAAATTTATTATCTTGATGTAATAGATTTTAATAAAAATAATTGTAACTCGTCATGTCTACGTGACGAGTTTGAATAAAAAATTATTTGTTTGAAATTTATCACCTCCGCATGACGAGTTCACATTTCACTGTAGTAAATATCGTAGATCTGAAAATAAACTTTGAGTTATCCTAATGGATTAATAAATTTATTCGCCAACATTATTGGGCTAACTAAACCTAAATTTGATTGGGTTGGTTCTTATTCAATCCGACATGATAAAAATTATATTTTTTAATTAAAGTTTGATTAAATAGTAGTGTGGGATAATTTTATATTCGACTTTAATTTTGAGAAAAAATTATACTCTATCCGATCCAACTTAAAAGAAATACATATATATGATTTTTTTTAATTTTATTCAATAAAAAATAGATCTCGTATAGAGATATTATTATAATTATACTTATATATATATATATATTATTTTGTAAGATCAAACATTTTTCACCTTAAATTCAAACTTGATTCAACTTAAACTTGTTATATAACAAGTCAACGTGAACTTAGTGTTTTTTTTAAAGAATCTTACTCAGGGTTTTAAATTGTAGTAGTTGTCGTGTTTTCGGTCATTTCGAGTTTACAGTAATTGTGGTCGTCGCGGGCGCTATTGCGGATGTAGCAGGTAACTCGGACGGTGACGAAACCGCTATTTTGCGGACACTATCACTTTTTCGAACCGTAATTTGAAACCTTGATCTTATCTAATTACATCGAGTGATTCGAAACTCGTCAAATTTAACTCTGGTGAAATCTCCTGATACAATACAAAAAAGCAATCAAACAATAAATTACCAAACTCAAACCTATCAAAAACAGTAAAAAAAGAAAAAGAGGGTTCCAAAGCTTAGGTTAATGGCAATCGACATCACTTTCAGAACAACTCAATTAAGACATAATTAACATCAAAAACACCTTAACCTTAAGCAAGCTTTATTGCTTTGTCTGTCTGGGTTATTGGGTGTTGGTGGACTCTTCCCTTCGTCGTCTCTCTAATCACCACCGCCGAGTCTCACCTTAACCTTCTCCAAATGGCTTATCCGCATAAAGCCAGCCTTAAAACCCTTTTATTTATTCTTCAAATAGTAGAGTTAACTACACCGAATGTCCTCCAATTATTACCTAGGTTTTAAATTAGTGTTCAGTTTTTAAAAATTGTCTTAATTGCATCCTCAATCAATCCAGTCTTTTTGTTCATTCCAGCGTTGAACACTAACTCAGTTTAAAATCTTTAGATCTAACACGGTACGATTGTACTCTAATCCATCCAGAACTTATAAAATGTGAATTAATAATGGTAAAATTGCATTTTGCACCCTCCAAAAGATAAAATTATTATTCAATCTGAAAATTTTGTAAAGTTATGAACTAATACAATAGTAAAATTTATATTTTGACCCGAAAAAGTTTTGACTCGACTCTTGTTTAACATGTTAAAAAGGAACAAATAACCCTAAAATGTTTCAGCCTCTTAACGAAGAACGCACCCAATTAGGCCATTGAACTTGTGAATTGCACTAGTTTAGTCCACGTGTGAATGGTGACATGACAAATGGCTAAATCAATGCAATTTGCGAGTTCGATGGCCAAATTAGGTGCCTTTTTTTACATAGGGGTCAAATTGATAGTTAGGTACGAGTTCAGGGGCTAAAATACCCTTTAAGCCTAGTTTTTAACTAGTCAAATTCAAGCTTCACAGATCCAGACTGGCATTTAACATCCTTACTGACAGCGGGACTTAATTGATATGATATTGATACTTTTGATATTAGAACGTGTTGAAATTTAAACACCAATTTAGAATTTAGGTTTTATATCAGTGACTTGGGTGAAATTGACCCTAAATAATAATACCAAATGCACTGCCTTTTTTATCACTTTCAGACAAGGGTCATCAATACCTCATTAACTTGGTTCATTCAAAATCTGCGTTTGAGTGCCTTCCCACTAAGCTATGGAACCATACAAGAACAAGCCCTCGGTTTCTGCAATATTTAGCGCTTAAGGAATCCATTTTTCCCCAAAGGAAAGAGCTTTCCATCAACGTAAGACGGACCATGACAAAACATAACCAAATCATAAAATCTCAACCACTCTCTCAGCCAATATCCATCGATTTTATACCCTAGAATAAGGGTTCGTAATATGCAAGTCTATAATTTCATAATCATATATACAAAGTTTCTTTTTGTTTTAACTGTCATACACTAAGTTTGCAGCAAATGACACCAGCTAATACTCATACATATACGTATACGTATACATATACGTATGATTAGGTTTTAGTGGTTATTAATATCATATTCATAGGAAAGATTAATAAATAAAAGTAAAAAAAGGGTCATATTTAAGATAATGAATCATTTAGAGAAAGGAAATTAGAAGTTGACATCATTGTCATGATAATGATGATGAGGAAGAATGAAAGCGATGGTTACTGTGTAAAACAATGAAACAATTAACCGGCAAGGCCGGCTTAGTCGCTTTCGGATCTTTGCTTTAGATTAAGGTAAGCTTTCCTCTCTTTGCGTTCAATTCCTTCAAGTAATGGACTCTCTCATTATCTCTAACTATATATATATATATATATGTTTTATTCCTTAACAACCCCAAGTCTTGTGTTGTTGTTATTGTTATTGTTAAAGCTGCAAGTGTCGTAAACGCGATATCGAGAAAATGGTATGTCCTGAGGAATCATTTGCAGGCCATGAACCTCACCCGAACCCGGTCGTGTTAGAGCTCACCCGGTTGCAGAACCAACTCAAAGGTTGTCTGATGATTTGTTTCTGAAACATGTCATGTTGTATGTTACTGACCATTGTGAATGTTGTTCCAGAAAAGGAAAGGGAGTTAGGTTCTGCTCAGGCTGAAATCAAAGCACTGAAAGCAACTGAAGCATTGAAGGATAAGGCCATACAAGAGGTAATCAAAATTTTTCAATGTTGTTATGTTGGATTAATGTGCTTAATTAATGTAATTATGTTGGATTAATGTGCTTAATAATCAGCTCCAGAGTGAAGTTCAAAAGTTGGATGAGAAACATAGGGTCACTGAGAATGTCCTTGAATATAAGGTCAGTGCCTTTTAAGTTTTCTTGACGTTGATATCTGTTCTTCTATTACATGTTTACTAATGGTGCTGTTTTAATCGTATTCGATTGAAGAACCTCGAAATCAAGAGGTTGACGAACGAGAAGAAAGATGCATTGGCTGCGCAGTTTGCTGCCGAGGCGACTCTTAGAAGAGTGCATGCGAATCGAAAGGATGACGAAGATGTTTCGATTGGATCCGTCATTGCTCCTCTGAAGGCAGAGATCAAAATGTACAAACACGAGATCGCGGTGCTTAGCGAAGATAAGAGAGCGTTGGAACGTCTCACCAAGTCGAAAGAGTCCGCTCTGCTCGAGGCGGAGAGGATTCTGCGAAGTGCTTTAGAAAGGGCCTTGATAGTTGAGGAAGTTCAGAACCAGAACTTTGAGTTAAGGAGACAGATTGAGATTTGTCAGGCAAGAGTCAAATTGACCGATTGAACACTTTACTCTATGCGTTTGTTTGCTAATAACTGATCGATATCATGTACCTTAATGCAGGAGGAAAACAAAATCCTTGAGAAAACCAATCGACAAAAGGTGTTAGAGGTCGAAAAGCTAAGCCAAACTATCAAGGAACTCGAAGAGGCGATCTTGGCTGGTGGGGCTGCAGCGAATACTATCCGTGACTATCAGAGACGAATTTCCGAACTTAACGTATGTTCCATGGTTACAAGAACTATTGTAGATTGTTGTTCGTGTAGTTATTATCCGAAACAATTCGACTAATGCAGGACGAAAAGAGGACACTCGAGAGGGAGCTTGCGAGAGTTAAAGTCTCGGTGAACCGTGTGGCGACAGTGGTGGCAAACGAGTGGAAGGATGAGAATGACAAAGTAATGCCCGTCAAGCAATGGCTGGAAGATAGGAGGCTGCTGCAGGTACATTCTCGAAAATTCTCCCACACCGTTTATTTATCGATCAGTGAAACATGAAATTCGTGTGTTTACAGGCGGAGATGCAGAGGTTGAAGGACAAACTAGCAGTGACAGAGAGAACAGCAAAGGCAGAAGCACAGCTTAAGGAGAAATTCAAGCTAAGGCTCAAGATATTAGAAGATGGCTTAAAACATGTACCATGTTTGTCACCTAAACCAGCCAAGTCCAGCAATATCTTAGGCCTTTTAACAAGCAGCAGTGGACTAAGGAAGCGGTCTACCTCGCAGCCGAGGGGTTCGACCGTAAGTAGCTCTCCGTTTCAGCCGAGCATCGAAATCGAAACAGCCAATGCCGGAACGAAACAAGGTGGCAGCTTGAAAAACAGGGCTGCACCAGAAGAAAACATGGTAAGGAAAAGTTTGTGGGCGTCTAGGTGCAAGGTTGCAGATAGTAGTGAGAAGGAAAATGCTGAAACCAAGGTAAACACGGATCTTAAAGATGGCGACACTGCAGATTGTGGTGCCGAAGATATGGTTTCGGGGTATTTGTACGATAGGCTTCAGAAAGAGGTGATCAATCTAAGGAAGTTTTGTGAGGCTAAAGAAAGCAGTTTGAATGCTAAAGATGAAGAAATAAAGGTGACACTTTAGTACTTGTTCCCTTGTCTATGCAAGTATGTATGTATGTATGAAAGATGTGATTGTTTTTACAGATGCTGATGAAGAAGTTTGAAGCATTGTCAAGAGCTATGGAAGTGGAGTGTAAACGTGTGAAGAAAGAAGCAGTTGTTAAAGAAAAGAAGATTGGATCAACCAAAATGGAGGACACCAGAAAGATGAAAAGCATCAACAACTCCCCTAGAAGGTTGGTTCGATGTAATTGTATTTTTGGATAAATTATATGTTTAGTACCTAAATTATTACTTTTGTTCAGTTTTGGTACCCAAATTTTATTTCTTTTCAAAACCATACTAAAGTTTAGTTTAGGTTTCATTTTGGTACCTGCCGTTTAAATTTTAATAGTGTTGTTGACATGTCACCGTAAGGTAATTCCATATCATCATTGTAAAAATTTAAAAAAATTGTCACGTCAACAATTATGTTAAATTTTAACAACATATATCAAATTAAAACCTAAACTAAACAGTGGATGCCAGAATGAAACAAAAGTAATAGTTTACGTACTAAACTTATAGTTTACCCTTATTTTTTTCTGCACTTGGTTGATTGTTTGGCCACTGAAATCACAGTGTTTGTTGAGCAGGGTAAGCCAAGCATCTTGAAGATTGCCATGGATGGTTGAAGCTGAAGAAAAATTGGTATTCAGTTGATTCGTTGTGCATGTCTCGGATATGATTGTTGGTGTAGATATTGAATTAAATCGTTTTGTTATAGCTGGTTGGAAATATGGTTGTTTCTGTGAATGATGAATTTGGGTTGGTTTGTTGATGGTAATTGTGAAAGGAAGAAGAAAAGGGTTGGAGATTTGACATTAGTAACATCCTAGCAATGCCCAGGACGATGAATTGTGATTTCTAATGCTTGGTTTTGTTGTAAGTGGTATACTTTTTTTTTTCTTGTTTAATTGAATAATAGCATACTTTGTTACAAATATCTTTAATTTTTTTAAAATTGTCAATTATCCGGTTATCAAAGTCTTCAAAATAAAATTCATTTCATAATCAAAATCTTCATGGAGATTAATGAAGATTTAGACAATTATGGAAAGGAAAAAAAAGATGAGGAAGATAGTTCATCGTTCTTTTTATATTTAGTGGTGGACCCACAGTTTGGTGAAGGTAAGTGTAAACATACGGGGAGTTCCCAACAATAGTCTCCAAAATACTTAAGTGCAAATAGAGTTTACGATTCAAATAAACAACAAGGGTCTATGACAATACATGCCCACTATAATGCTCAAGATGTGCTCTGTAAGAAGAACAAGTCTGGTGAAGAGCTCCTCAACTAGCACCTAAGAACCTGCTCATGGAAACACATTTCATACGTTGAGCTTACGAACTTAGTGTAACATAAATAACCCTACTATACTACATGCATCCAACATATAAGCATGCTACAAGTATAGTTGTGAATATTTGCTAACACTATCACAACAACCAAAGTAAGCATCATGGTGTAACTCGGGGTCACTTAGCATTACAGAACTCACACCCATATTTGCTTACTAAAGAACTTTAGGCTAGACCTGGGTCACAGAGCATCAACACCTCCTTAACCTTGAGCTAGGTCTGAGTCACATACCATTGGTGCCTCGCTCGACTAGTCTACTACTCTAGAGTACTCGGGACGTGTCCGAGTCACAAATCATCGGCACAACATCCAACTAACAAATATAATGCCTAAGTTCTGGTTTGGATATATGCGGATAATCTCTTACTCAACTATACCAACTTCGTACATAAGTAACTCAGGTGTCCTTAATGTTTTCCTGAGCATCAAGTAGGGCATAAGTCTTATGAAATCTTGTCTCATAAATATCTTATGTTATCACATAATTATTAAGGTTTTCACTTGTAAGCTTATTGTAAGGTTTTCCTCAATCTAAGACTCCTTTTTCATCATTCCAATTCAAGTTAACCTTATAGCCCAAAAAATTACAAGGGTACTGATACTCCCTTTTGGGCATCGATACTTCATCTGTTAGGGTATCGATATGTTAAGATCGAAGAGGCTCAATTGAACAACCAAAAAAGTTGCAAGAGGGATAAATTGGCAAAAATGGTGTAGGGAGTAAGGAGAATGAAAAGATAGAAACTTTTGCACAGAGATTTATAGTGGTTCGACTTCTCAACTAAGTCTACCTCCACTACCTTAGCTCCTCACTAAGTATTTTCTAACAAATTCACAAATTTGTTCTTTCTTTTTCAAGGATCAAGAGTAACATTTACAACTCCCTAGTTTTTCACTTGGCTAAACTAGAACCAATCCCCTTTACAAACATATAAAAGAAGTAAACAAATAAAAACCTCTCTAAGGTAGGGTGTTTACAAATTAAAGCTCACAGGAACAAAATATTTACAAGAGAATTGGAATAAAGAGTGAAAAACTCTTCTCTTGTGTTTGATTGCTTGGATAGGTGTTCTAACCCTTCTTCAAGTGTCTTGAACTTGTATTTATATGTTGGAATGAAGTTGTGGCCATTTTTAGCCATTGGAAGTGTTTTGGAGCCGTTGGGGACGTTTTTCTCTGCAAAATAAAACTACCCAGAACAGAGGGTATATGTATTCCTATAGTGAGTATCAGTACTTCCTTTGTTATTTTTAAATCAACTAGTTGTTACTAGCCGTTGGACCCTGATGGTATCGATATTATACCTATGGTATCGATACTACTATACAAAGTAGTATCGGTACCCCTTTGGGTATCGGTACAATTTTTGCATTCTGGAATTTGAGCAATGTTGGTAGTATCGATACTACCTAGTGAGTATCGATACTTCCCTTACCTATGGTATCGACACCATATTAACAATATCAGTATTGTTCATGAGGTATCGATATTGTAAGAACAATATCAATACTTCTTGTTCAGAAAAGTATTTTGTGCTCAATTCCAATTAAAATGGACTTTGAATTATTTTTGAAAACTTTGAATAAATTCAATTCAAGTCCAAAAACATTTTTCCATAAATTATTATATCAAAATATAGTTCAACACGATAGTTCATCAAGTATAAATACTAATTTTACCTTCGATGTTTTGAAAAATTCCTCGGTACCAATATCCCCATATGGGTGTATCGATACTCTACCCTAGGAATCGATACTCAAGGGAGTATCGATACCGAATAGCTTATTAGAATCTGACCAAATCCTTGAGTATCGGTACTACATGAGCAATATTGATACTTTCCTCACAACTCCCTTTGAAATTTTGCCCATCCACGACGAACAATATCAGTACTTTAAGAACAATATTGATACCCTATGCCCAAAAAACTCTATTTCACTCGTCTAAAACTTTCCAAAACACTCATAAAGTGTCCCCGATACCCCCAAATGGAGTTTAAAACTTTTTAGTACTTAAGGGTTATAAAAGGTCATCACTTTATGCATAAACAATAAAAAATTATCATTTTTATGCTTTGAGCCCCCAAATGCACCTAAATGCTTCATAGACTCATACAAGCATCAAAACTACACATGTTGATCTACAAGCAGTAAGGAAAGGTTAGGAGTGCGTTACCTTACACATAAGAGTTGTATGAACAACCTCAAACTCAACCAATGACTTCTTTCTCCTTGCCTTTAATCTTTGAGCCTTCACCAACCTCTTTCACTAATTACAAGTAAGAGAATGAGTTACTAACTCATCTAGGAGCTTAAGAAACATAGGAACAATATTTATAAGGCTCATGAATGTTTTAGAGCCTCCATTAGATCTAAAACAGAAAACACTTCTTGAACCCAACCATGGCCACCATAGTCAAACTCTAAGGTTGTGAGCTCAAATTGTATCTCTAAGTAATAGGATTTCAAAACCTACATTCACCAATTCGAACTAGGATGAATGAACTATAAAAACGCCTCATTTGCTAGCTTCAACTTGAGGGGAAAATGAAGGAGAGAGTAAGAAGAAGAGAAAGAAGAACGAAGAAAAAAGGTGTAATACCCCAAAAATTTCAAAAAGTGACTAAAATGTAAATTTTGAAAGTTTGTGGCTAAAGTATAAAATTAGAAAAGTTTAGGTATCTAAAGTGTAATTTTGAAAATTTTATATATTTTGGTTCCATAAATGGATAACTTACCTTAAAAGAATGATTTTTATGTTTGTTAGATTTTCGATTTGCTGAAATTTATAGAAAATGATATTAATTGATAAAGTTCAATAAAATAATCGAATATCCAAATCAAATAAAAAATTTACAAAAATTTTAAGGATGGTAGTATGAGGTTAAAAATGTTGTTTTAGTATTTTTAATGTGAAGAATTCGAAGTGGTTCGTTCAAATTAAAAGAATTTACCCTGTTTTAGTGAAACTGTGAAATTTAGTGACTAAATTGAATTTTTGAAAAATTGAAAGGGTTGAAGCATAAACAAGCATAAATTTTGATTAAAAATATTAAGGGACTAAGTTGAAAGCATTCAGTCATGGTGAGTTTGAATGAAGAAATATTGATTTGATTTGTTTCTATTATTGGAATGATTAGAATGAATGGAAATGAGTTGTAGGTGATGAAAACAATCTTAAATCAAACTTGGAGACCATTAAGGATAGTATCCAAAACTTTGGGCCATGGAGAAAAATTTAGGAAAATTTGTATAAAAATTTCTTTTGGGGTTAAATTAGATAGAAGGATGATTTCATAAGGTTTGAATTAAGTTTTGGATCAATTTGAATCAATGTTAAGCTTAGATGATCTTTTTACAAGTTTTGAGAAATTGGAGGATTGTAAAGTAAATGTTGAAAAAATAATGTACTATGCCTGAAATTATAGTTGGAACGATGAAATGTTGAATTTGATTGATTTGGAAGTTGAGTAATTCATAGGGATTAAATTGTAAGTTTTTGGAAAGTTAGTGGTGAAATTGCAAAAGTGCAAGATTAATGTACTAATTTGGAAATATAATGAAATTAGTTTAGTATGATGGTTGTTAGGGATTAAAGGGAATAGTAAGGACCAATTTGACCAGTTTTGAAATATGGGGGTTTAATTTGAAGAAATGCGTAATTGTGGGTTAAATGTTAAATTTTGAAAAGTTAAGTGATTTAAGGTGGAGAATTATTATTTTGAAGGACTAGGAAGGTTTCTTTGCAATAGTTGAGTAGAATTAATTTAGTTATATAAATTAGCATTGAATATTTGTTTACCATATTTTATTTTGGATACTTGTTTAACAAATTAGTTAGATACTAACATATGTTCGAAATTTTTTATGTCGGATAATTAATTTTTAAGTAGACCGTGACTGGAATTGAGAACAAAATGAGCAAAAAGAAAAAAGAACATAGTTCAAGAGTGAATTTGATTAAGTTAAGGTTGATTTTAATTTCGGTGTAGAAGTTAGTATCGGATGTTCCTTACTCGAATTTTTAGAATTACGATTCGAATTTGATTTTATTATAATAGTACAAGTACTAATGTATGTGAATCGTTTATATGTTGAAAATCGATGATCGGTTAGTTTGTGATTATAATCGAGATCAAAATGAACCGGATACGAGGATTATAAAGGTAATCGTAGGATAAGCTGGTGAGGCACCAGGTAAGTGCAACCTACTTAATTTATATTCTATATAAGGACGTTTGCAATGAGCCAACCTCGAGGGTTTTCGATTGAAACAATTTGAAACATTTTATGAAATATCTTTATATTGATTTACTAAATGGTTTTTTATATGATTTTGGGTTTGAATAACCTAAATTATTTTATTTGGTATTTTATTTCATAGCATGTGAATATTTTTGGGTATGAACTGCCTAGAACTGATTTTATATAAACATTTTATATTCAATTATATGGATGAATGGTTTTATATGCAAATTAGTAATTAATTTAAAATAAAGCCCATGATATGAAAATGAGGGTTAGTGGTACAATGGCATGCATGCCTTGAGGTGGAGTGAATCTGGATATGTTTTTGATATAACACCAGTGTGGATCACTTGTGGTCTGCCTCGGTGCACCTTAGTGGTGCACGAGGTGGAGTGATTCGGTGCATTTGATTAGCTTTATATGTGCATTATATGGCACCAATATGGATCACTCGTGGTCTGACTTGGGTGCTTTAGTGGTATACGAGGTGGAGTGACTCGGTGCAATCTGTTCTAACAATAAATTTGTATATACTTCACTTACTTGTTATTTGACTCACATACCTCGTATTATCATGATAATACAGTGGGCAAAGGTTTGATATGAATAAGAAAAATATAGATTTGAAATGATCATATTTTTAAAAGAAAAGTACAATTTTGCATTGATATGAACTGAAATAGAAAAGTACATATATAAAATAACACAATACAGTCTGATTTAAAATTTTTTATATAAATTCTTATTACGAGTTGACATCTGATTTTATAATAGCACAATACAATCTTTATATGATATTGTTTGTTTTATAAGTTAAATATTTTATTTTACTTGGTTGCCTCACTAAGTGAAAATTTATCATGTTAGTGTTTAACACGTAGGTGCAAGCTAGAAGGAGAAAATAAGGGGCGCATCCGTATCATTTTTGAGGAATCATATTTACCACCCGAATCGATAAGTAAAGACATCTTGTTTGTTAATTTATTTGGCAGTAACATGTATATTAAAGAAGTTTCTTGTTGTTCTGATTCGAATATATTTAAGATATTTATGTTTAAGTTGTGAATGTTTGGTTTTACAAAAGACATTATTACTTATGAATATTGATTTATTAAAGAGAAAATAACCTCAGTGGCCAAAAATCTAAAATAATATTCGATTTTGACCAATTTTTTTTTGGATTTACCAAAATGACCAATAAAATCGCAATGCGATCTCTAATTCGCATTGCGATCTCCAATATCGCAAATTCGCGTTGCGATAGTTGAAAATCGCGTTGCGATTTTCCATTTCACGTTGCGATAGTGCAAGTTGTCGTTGCGATTTTCCAAATTCGTTGCGATAGTCTACCGTTGTGTCGTTACGAATTAGAGATCGCATTGCGATTTTGTTGGTCATTTTCGCAAATCCAAAAAAAGTTGGTCAAAATCGTATATTATCTAGGATTTTTTGTCACTGAGGTTATTTTCTCTTTATTAAATCATAATTATTTATGATAGAAACGATTTTCAAATCAGACAATTTTCTAACATATTTTATTTAAGATATGTTACAATATAGAACTGCCTAAAATGTTATCTGAATTAAATTTAAAATTTGATATTTAAATATCAAATTATGATTTTGTCCTATTATTATTTTTAAAATAAAGAAATATATTTTGAGATTTAAAAAAATAAAACAATGGGTAATTTATTATCCGTTTAGTTTTCATTTCATTTTAGAATATGTCGTTAAAAATTTAACGTGTGTAGTACCTAAACTATTAGTTTTGGTCTATTTTAGTATCTAAATTTAATTTTTTTTCAAAACTTAATGTTAATTTTTTAACGTGATACTAAAATAAAAAAACTAAATTTTAAATATATTTTTAAAAAAAAAGTTAAAAGTTTAAGCATTACATATTAAAACTGATAGTTTAAATACGAAACACATAATTTACCTAAAGTATATAAAATATAATGACTTGAGATGCAACATGAATGTAATATGATAAATAATTAAGTTATTTATGCAAATTGAAAATAACAAGAATGTGATACGAATAAATAATGCATTAAATTTCTTTAAAATTTCTTTCGCTTTTATACAACTTTTTTGAGAAAAAAAATTAGAGAGTTTGATTAATATATATATATATATATATATATATATATATATTTAGGGGGTGAGCGGAGACAATCGTCCTTTGATAATTTAAAATTATCATATATATTTTTATACATTTTTAATAAAATTATATTATTCACCCTATAATTTTATAAATTTAAATTTACCCTTAATAAAAAAATTAAATGTTTGTCCCTATATAACCAGTAAAAGACAACATTAAATGGTGAAATAAATTTTAGTTAGTTAATTCAATCACATGAACCTAACTTTAATCCCCGAGCTAATTTGTACGCTAAGTTAGTAGAAACTTGAACGAATTGGACACTTTGGGTCGTCCGTGCTGACCTCACCACCGACACTTTGGGTATACAATCTGAGAAACATATTCTATCCACTTGAACTTTATTTAAGTTTAGAAAAAAAAACAAATAATTCCAACTTTACACTTAAAAAAAAAAAAAAAAAGTAAATAATTCAAGTTCGAGTCCTTGTGAATGCAGAAAATCTTCTTGGAAGAGGTCTCCACCTTTCGTGCCCAATAGTATCTCGAAAGATTAGTCTCATGTGAAATCTAAGGACACCTTAGGATTAGGGATGGCAATGGGTCGGGTCGGGTCAGGTTTTTGGGCCACCCGACCCGACCCGAGAAGAAAGGGTTCTCCACACGTGACCCGACCCGACCCGACAAAATTAATGTTTCACCCGACCCGACCCGAATATATGACTTAGAAACCCGATCCGACCCGACCCGAAATAAAAAAAAAATTTAATTCAATGAAAACAGTGACTTAATTGAAAAAAATTATATATGGAGGGATATTATTGTAATTATCCTTAAATATATAAGATAAAATTATATATATTTTTCGGGTCGGGTCGGGTCGAATTTTTTTTACCCTAAACCCGACCCGACCCGAACAGTGCATTTAAAAAAAACCCGACCCGACCCGACCCCGAATTTTTTAAAAAAAATCTGACCCGATCGGGTCAGATCGTGTCAAAACCCGTCGGATTCTGGTTGAGTTGCCATCCCTACTTAGGATACCAAAAAAAAGCAAATAATTATAAGTGGAAACATTCATTCATTCATTATTATTTATATGTTTATTGGTAACAATATTTGTTTCTATAACCCAACAATTGTCGACCACCCGCCTTATTAATCTACACATGTTCGTCGTTATTATTATCAGAGATGAAATTGACTCGTGTGCCGCCGCTTTTACATTACATGATTGAGCACGCGTTTGGGTTCTCGTCGCTAAAGCATTCGCCCGGCCGTTTGGTGTAGCAGTAGTTGTACCCGCCCCAGCTATCGTAAACCGGCCTACCGTAACTCTCGTAACGCGCCACCGGTGGTGGAGGTGGTCCGCCGTAATAGCATGGTCCCCCTGGAATCCCATGATAACATTCCGTGCAACAGCATCCCATGGGCGGTGGAGGATTCGGCGCTGGAGGCTGAGCTGGTGGCGGCGCTGGAGGTAGAGCTGGTGGTGGTGCCGGTTTCTTTGGTTCTTTGGGCTTCTCGGGTTCTTTCGGCTTTTCCGGTTCTTTCGGCTTTTCGGGAGCTTTAGGTTTTTCGGGCTCTTTCGGCTTCTCTGGTTCTTTCGGTTTCGCCGGTGCCGGCGGTTTTGGCGGCGGTTTGATCTCAATGCTCTTGATGGATCCGCCACCCTTGCAGCACAACTTGTCCCGGAGCCTCTCAGGATCGCAGCAGACCACCTTGATCGTCACCGTGTTAGCCTTGGTATCATAAATCTGGTCTCGAATTTCTCTTGTTCGCAAAACCCAGAATCAAAACATCAACTCAGATCACCAAGCAAATCAAACTAATTCGCAATTATCAAACACCACAAAAATCAAAGAATAGAAACTCACGAGGGAATTTACTGAGCACTTTCTTCACCTTCTTGTAGCATTTGGAGCACTGAAGGTCCACCTTCAGCGCCATTATCACCACCTACATCCGTACACACAACCAACAACAACAAAAAAACAATAAATAATTCCATATATCATCGCTAGCAAACAAAGAGGGGAAAAGGGTAAAGTACAATCACTATATTCAGGTTCTGACATAGAAGAAATAAAGAATGATTATAATAATTTCCTTTAAAAAAAAGTGGCAGCCACAAAAACACACAAAAAATGCATTGCAATTTACAGAGGAATTGCAAAGGGATAAGATTGAAAGAACCTTCTCGGCCATCGATCGGAACCGATGAATCTGAGATCCGAACTCAGCGATGAAATGAAGAAATGAGTTCGGGGAAGAGATATTGAGGATTCAAGAGAGCCTTGAACTTGAAGCTTTAATCCATTAAAGGCAAGGCAGGCAGCCAAGGTGAGGGAGTACACCAAACCAACCGATTGGTGCAACGTGTAATTTCTGTAGAAATTTGTAGAGAATAAGGCTTAACCTTAAGATCGTGGGATCGAGTATCACAGAGGACATTTTATAATTCGGAGGTCTTCTACAGAAGCTGTTTTCAATTTGATGTTGGGAGCAGCTTACTATCTTATCTCTCCTTACCCTATTATATATGGAAACAAGGGACAATCATTTATATTTGTGAATTTATTTATTTATTGCACTTGTAATCTTAAATCTTTCCATTTTTATCAAATATAGATACAAAAATCTACATAACCCTTCATTGACTACGTTTAAATGGAAGTGATGGTATAACTACAAGTGGAGTAAACCCACCATCATGTGTGCCCATTCATGGGTCTTATAGGTCCCGTTCTTAGAGTACACCTTTCTGAGTCGGGAAACATCTTCTGATTTCCATCTACAAGCAAGTACAAGATGGTAAAATCGCTTAGGGTGATGGTGCAAGGACACGATTAGTAAACAGAGCATTGGAAATTTGATCCTGGCAAGTTTGTCTCAAAAGATATACGCAGAGATGGACTTAAAATTAAATATTGACAATGATTGAAATATTAGATTATTTAAGAAAAATATAAATACTTACTAGGTATTTAAACTCGAAATTCAGCACGAACATAACGACCTTAGTAATTAAGGGATTTTTGTTATCCTTGAGGTCCCGAGTTCAAGCACGTATGTAGGGATATAAGGTTTCATTATTAAATAGCTAAAAGTTTTTGTACATATATTACATTGTATTCACCTTAAATTAGAAAAAAAAAACTCAAAACTCGAAAGACAACTTCTAATTTGTCTAATATTTAAACTTACAATGACTTAAATTGTAATCAGACCAAAAATTTGAGAACATAGACTTATCATTCTTTAGTTTAACTTATATTTGATTAAATATTTAATAAATTTTTATATTTTTTAAATTTAAATATTTATTTTTACATTGACCAAAATATTATTAAACCAAAATTATATAGAATATATAAATTTTAACAGGTGTCGGAGCCCCCTTGGGCCGCCCTAAGGGAACTTCGTCCCTGGATATATGGGTTATACGTTCTTTTCTAAAATCAGGTTCTTAAAATATTTTATAATAATGTAAAATATTAAAATTTAAAAAGATTAAAACTAAGATGAACATAAATAAAAATTTATCTGTTAAACGTCATAAATTTGATGATTTTTATAAAAAAATATTATTACAATTGAATTCTTGAAATAATAAGAAAGAAAATTAAAAAGGTTTTTTGGTTAAATTTTAAAACAAAAAATAACTATTTTAGGTTAACTGATTACTTTTCAAAGTGACGAGTTCTGAATTTTACGAAGGGTAAATTACATTGGTTATTTTGTGTTGAGTTTTTGAGAGAGTTTAGGGTAAAATCCACATAATATTTAGGGTGAGCACGAGTCTAACCTGAAATTTTATGTGTGTCTACTACACACAAAAATTTTATATCGTTAATAAATGTGTGGCAACTCTAAAAAATATTTTTAGATCCATAAAATATTAGCGTTAATTCTAACGAGAGTAGACATATATTTTGATACTTGAAGTTAGCTTAAAGATGTAATTTGATACCAAATTGCCACACTCCTCAACCAACCGTAAATGAAAGAGAGAGAAAATCAAGCACAAGCCAACTCCATTTTACTATTAATCTACTCCCTGCTTTCAAACCTCACACGTCATTGCAAACCCAAATTTTGGCAACACTTTAATCAATACATCCTAGATTAATCCGAATTGTAACAACTATGGAAACCAAACACGTGTAACAAGGAGTTGCATCTGTTGTCATGGTGTCCTACGACTGCTGGCTAACGAGGAGTGAAGATCACATTTACCCTATGCTCTCTCTTGTCTTCTAGCCACCTACCTATTGGAAACGGGACACTTGATTGAAAATTCAGGTTGATATTTTAGTAGGGTGTCCAAGTCATCTTGCACTGGTTATGATGTGATGAGTTTTTGAAAGAAGTTTGTCATGTAATTAAAATTATCATCCATCATTTTGGGTTAAATACGAGTGAATACCTAAATCTGATTTATGTCTTCATTGAGGTTTGAAAATCATTCTAAGTTGAAAGTGGATTTGGGTTTTAACTTGAATTTGGACATAGTGTAGGCATATTGGCTTTTGGGGTGTTCAGGTTCGGATTTAAAAATTATTGTAATCTCTTATGCTCAAATTTAAAATCTCGATGAATAACAATCATTTATTTAATTATTTAATTAGTTTGGTTCGTGCTTAATCGAGTATTATAGAACTTTCAAGAAAGTTAGAATACAAACGAGGAGTATTATTATTATATTGTATTTTATGAAAAGACTACACATGCTTTTATAGCTACATGCATGTAACACACACACACACACAACAACCCTAGCAGAACGTTAACTGCTCAACTACCTAACCACCCAGACCTTAGCCAACACCACACACGTTCTTAGCTTATAATATTCCCTCTGCTATTTTCGTCTCCTTTCTTTCTTATTCCTTATTTTTAACAAGATGACACACATATCTAGGGATGGGCATTTAAACCCGACCCGATCGGGTCGGATTTTTAAAAAAAAATATTTGGGGTCGGGTCGGGTTCGGGTTTAGGGTGAAAAAAATCTGACCCAACCCGAAAAAAAATATAATTTTATCATATATATTTAGAGATAATTACAATAATACCCCTCTATATATAATATTTTTTCAATTAAGTCAATTTTTTGATTGAATAAAAATATTTTTTTATTATTTCAGGTCGAGTCGAATCGGATCGGGTTTCTATGTCATATATTCAAGTCGGGTAAAACCTTGTTTTGGTCGGGTCGGATCTCGGGTGGAAACTCTCTTGTTCTCGGGTCGGGTCTCGGGTGGAGACTCTCTTGTTCTCGGATTGGGTCTCGGGTGGAGACTCTCTTGTTCTCGGGTCGGGTCGGGTGGACCAAAAAACCTGACCCAACCCGACCCATGCCCATCCCCATCCCTGACGTATCTTATCTCGAAAGTCTTCAAACGCTGCCTTCGACAAAGGTTTTGTGAGTCCATCAGCCAGCTGAGATGAACTGGTATATAGTTTACATATAACTGCTTGACTACACATTCTCTCGAACAAAATGAATGCCAAACTCCACGTGTTTAGACTGAGTGTGATGCACCGGATTAGTGCTTAAGGCCACAGCGCTAGAGCTATCGCACCACACAACAGGCTCTTCATGCTGTTGTAACCCAAGATCAGACGGTAAGACACTTATCCAGGTCATCTCAGCGACAGCATCAGCGACACTTTTGTATTCTATATATATATATATATATATGCACCCATTATATAAAATTTATTAGTTTTACTCAAAAATATGATTATTAAATAAATTTATTAGCATTAATGTTATGTGTATAGATATATAAGAGTTTATTAGGTAAAGATGACAATAGGACAAATAAAAAACCTTAAAAGGCTTATATTAGAGGTCAATACAAAGATTGACATGTGATGCATAATAGGAAAACAAGTAAATTAAGCATTATTAGTTAGAAAAAAGGATCAAGGAAAGACATAACAGTGACATACTCCCACACCAACCACAATTGACAAAGCTCAAGCACAAGACAAACTTAAATAATTTGTTATTCTTTTGGCCCCTTGCTTTCAGACCTCACAAGTCAACATTGACGAACCCAAACTTAAAGTAAGAAATAACAGACATAACAAGCCAAGGGAGACAGGCAGGCAGACAGTAGAATAGATTATACATGTCTCAACGTCACATGATTGCACAACCTGACGTTCTCTGCTCACACTGGCCACACCTTCCGCAACCGCATGACCCACCACAAGTCCCGCTGCACCAGAAGTTACCGCACCGCTTACATGAAGACGATGTATTGCCGCCGCTGCATCCGCCGCAAGCACTGCTGCCGCACCCTTTACAACAACTCCAGCTATTGTAGTAGCTGTATCCACCACCACCACCCCTACAGCCTCCACCACAAGACATGTTGCCGCACCCTCTGCACGATGACCAATTCCAGTTGCCGCCGCCGCTGCATCCTCCACAAGAAGAGCTACCGCACCCTTTGCACGATGACCAAGACCAGTTGTTGCCGCTGCATCCTCCACAAGAAGAGCTACCACACCCTTTACAAGATGACCAAGACCAGTTGCATCCGCCACAAGAAGAGCTACCGCACCCTTTGCACGGAGCCACACCGGTGCATGCGGAACAATTCCAGCTGATCCAGCCATGACCGGAGCAGCCTTTGCAGCCACTGCCTCCACACCAATTGCAACACATTTTCTTCCCACAGTTGTCATTGCACGTTTTCAGTGGGAACGAAATGCACTTGCTCTGGATGCATGGACCTTCGGGATGCCACTTGTGACATTCCTTGCAGAGTATCCACACTATCTTAGTGGTTTCGGGTTTCTTAGCCTCAGGCTTTTTAATCTCAATGCTTTCGATGGAACTGCCGGCTTTGCTCCTTATCTTGGTTTTGATACACTCAGGGTCCCAGGATACCACCGTGATGGTCACTGTATTTGCCTTGTCGTCGTATTTCTGGTCCCTTATTTCTGCTCAATTACACCATTACATCACACTTAATCAGTTTTCATTTATATAAAAATAGTTAGTTAATTAATAGTGAACCCTTATCATTAACATGACGAGTCTTGTAAATCTAAAGTGATAAGTAAACACATCTAATATGTAGATAAATGATGATACGAGACATGTGATCACGTATACAAATGATATGATATATGTCACATTATTATTTTGAACATATAATACATTACATGTCAATAACAAATGTTAACCATTAGTTAACTAACTATTTATATTCAATCATACGTATTTTATCCAAATGAAACATTG